AAAGAACAGCATTTTGTAAAGACCCTAAGGCAGGAGTGACTCAGAAGTTATGTCTTGTATCCCTAAGAAGTCTTTTTTTGTTTGCCTCTAATATCAGGTGAAGCAGGCTAGAGGCTAACATTGAGCTAACAATGCTAATGATGAATCATTTGATGAATTTTTTCAACGATGAGAACGGGAGAAGGGGCTCCCGGATGCCCCTCCGCGACAGACCCAGTTGGACACATCATGGACTCCTGGAAACAGTGGAACTAGATTTGTTTATCTCAGCTGTCAGTGGAGGACTCTGAAGACGTGTCACTATTCGTGGTATTGGTGTCAGGTTTCCTGCTCATTGGCCTTGGAGGCTACCTGGCTTACCGGAAAATTATAGAGCTGTCGAGGAATATTGGCCTGATCCCGGAGCTCAGAGATGGTTTGCACCGCGCTGTGAATTCACAGACTCAGATAATTGTCGAGATGATTCGTAAGTTTGGAACTTTGGCCGAGATTCATTATTGGCACAAAAGATGGATGCCATCAAATAGTAAATGGCCTGTATTTGATATATACCTTCTAGAGTCATGGAACCCCTCAAGGCGCTTTACAACACAATCAGTCATTCACCCATTCACACACACGTTCACACACTGGTGGGGATGTAGCCACAGCTGCCCTGGGGCGCACTGACAGAGGCGAGGCTGCCGAGCACTGGCGCCACCAGTCCCTCCGACCATAGGCGTCATTTTAACCGGGGACGCCGGGGACATGTCCCAGGCAAAATTTGTGATTGGCAGCTGTGTCCCCCCCACTTTCAAAAAAGCCTGTTGATGAGGATTTTTGTTTTACCAGCTCAGATCTTATACCAGGGGTCGGCAACCTGTTCCCATCAAAGAGCCATTATTACCCGTTTCCCACAGTAAAGAAAACACTGGGAGCCACAGCGGCCGCATCGTTGTGGGCGGGGCCTACCCTCAGACAGCAGAGAGCTGCTCACAACAGGTGACAGCAGCCGGTACCATGGGCGTTGCACCCGTGGGGGATGCAACACCCACACTTTTCCAGCTGTTTTGCTCACCTCCACACCAGTCTGGTTTCTTTAGGTCGCACTCACTCTGTTTGCCTCATCTCCTTCTTCACCTCCCCTATTCTGACAGCCGATGTCGGGTTCAAGGAGAGCAGGAGAGGGAGGGACAGAAGAGCTCGACTGAATTCATAATTTTACATCTTGACATTAGCTGTACAAAGTCTGAGTTTGATAAAGTGAAGAACAACAAATTGCAGAGGTTTATAACAGGCGCAGCGCCAGGTTTTCATTTTTGGGTGGGCCACGGTAATTTTGGACGGACCTTGATAAGCAGCGACTTAAGTGAAGCAGGCAGGTCGCGCTAGAAAATTTAGTTTAAAAAGACGTCATAAATGTGTTTCCCCGTCATTTTTATTTCTAAAATATGAAGTAAAAACTCCCAATTTAATTTTCATTCGTCATTAATATGTAGTCTACACCCGTGCGTTAAGTGGACCATCTTCCAGTAAAAGAAAAGCATCCGGCCCACCTCTCCAAATGCGTAAAATGTGCATCACAGCCGCTAGTTAGGCGCGCCGCGCGCACCGTCAGCTGATCAGCCCAGACAAGAGCAGAGCAACTAGAGAAAGAATAGAGGATAATTGTGTCTGGATGTGGATGGAGATTACATTTTACAGCAGCCTGATCATCATTTAAATACGTAAACCATCACCTGTCTTCTAGTCCACGCTATCAGCATTATTTTAATTTGTGTGTGTGTGTGTGTGTGTGTGTGTGTGTGTGTTTTCCAATTCAACTACTGGTCTAACCAACCAGACCAGCGTGTCCAGTAACATATTAATGTTACAATTAAACAGTTTCACTTCATGTAGGCTAGGAACATTTCACCTGCCGTAGCCCGACCGCTTCTGCTCCACATGAACTTTGTGCGTGACCAAATGTCTCTACAGGTGCTTTCTGAGCTGAAGAGGCGATTCTGCCTCAGACTGGATGCGTCATGTGTCTCCATATTGGAGACGGGAACAAGCGCTATTCAGCCAAACTTTCATAATTTCATAAAAATAACATTTTCCAAGTGACACATCCCTCAGAGAGACCGGGTTTCCAGACCGCTTCAGTGGGAGGAAATCAACCAGCATCATTGAGTTCATCCGTCAAAATAAACAGTCAAATGGAAATATCTGTAACCTGCCATTTAACTGTTTTGCCTTCCTGTGAAGATTGTTGCAAAGAGAAACAACTAAACCTGATTAACCCCAGAGCCATGCGCACTGCGCTGTTCTGACCGTAAATGAGGGGGAAACGATTTAATCGGATCCTTTTCTTTTCAACATGGTTTAATGTAAAGTTTCATTCAGTACAAACTTTAGTTACACCAATCTAACGAGACAGAGTCTGGATTTGTATTCTGAACAGTTTAAACATGTTTAAACGGAGACATGCGTGACGTGTTTAAAGTCCGCACCTGCTCCGCTATTATGGAAATTAAAATAACAAGATGAATAACATGAACTTATTTTAGGCACAGACAACATCCCCACACTTTTGAAAAGCTTGCAACGCGCCTGGTCGCTCGTGTACGTCAAAGTTGTCTTTCATAAAAAGATAATCAATAAAACGATTAAATAAAGTTGATCCAGAAGCTGTAGCCCGTCTCTGCCTTCAATATTCACACTGTTGGTGGTTTTACTGAGCAGGTGCCACTTTTGTCATACGTTTCTTTTTAAAACATGTTTAGACTGTTCAGAATACAAATCCAGGCTCTGTCACGTTTGATTGTTGTAATTAAACTTTGTAGGTGGGGAAGGTCAGAAAGCAGCTCAGAAGCGCATGATTACGCACAAGCGTGACGCGTCAACCCGGTCTCACAGACCGGGTTGGACCTGTTCAGGTTTACGCAGACAATCTTTACATTTAGAATTGGCATACAGGTGTAAAATTAATGCAGTAAAATATAAAGCATTTTATTTAAATATCCATTCATTATTTTACAAGCACAGAGAGCGCATCAGATGGATGGAGGAGCCGCATGCGGCTCCAGAGCCGCGGGTTGCCGTCCCCTGTGCTAGCCTACTTTATTGTCCCCAGCAATTTTTAAGCCCCACTCAAGTGTATGGCTATTGTCCCCAGCAATTCTGAAAACAAACTGACGCCCTTGCCTCCGACCACCACCAGTGTTACTGCTGATGGATGGATGGATGGATGGATGGATAATAGGTAGATAATAGGTAGATGATAGATAGATAGATCGAGAGTTGGATGTTAAATTTTCCACACGAAAAGAATTTTTTTAGGGCCACTGAAAAGAAAAAAGAAAAGAAAAAGAATTCTGACTTTATTCCCAGAATTCCCTGTCAGAATTCCGAGATTAAAAGTCAGAATTCTGAGAAAAAAGTAAGAATCCTCTTTCTTTTCTTTATTTTTTCTTGTCAGTGGCTCTAATCATCTTCTGTATGGAGTTGAAATAAATAAATAAAATGTAGAGCACAAAAAGTCTCAATATTAATAACACCCCCCCCCCCCAACCCCCCCCCCCCCCGCGCTCTAAAACAGTCGGCGAATTGTCCGCTCCCAACCCCATGACCATGTCTCACTCTTTGAAATGTTCAAAAGTTGGCAGCCCGGAAACACGTGTTCATATACATATCTATGGGAGGAACGCTAACCAACCCCGTGTGCCCTCACGGCCACCGCAGGAAGGAATTGCTCTTGACATACCCCCCCCCCCCCACCCCCCCCCCCCCCAAGGCTCTCTTGGCTTCACTTTTTTCAAAGGAGCCAGTCCATTGAACGGCTCTTCGAGGTAAACGACCGACTAATGAACGGCTCCCATGAAATAGCCATAAATCACATCACCACCATATTTGGCTTAAAAAATTCAAAAGTTTTTTGCCAAGGGACAAGTTTGCAGGCATGTTATCTACTTATCAACTTAATGTTTATGACCTGTTTTTGCTTGTTATCTGGAATCTTTTGGCACTGATCTGTAACTAGCATCAACCATGAAACTCATGGAACAGCAGCAAGAAAGTCACTTTTTTTAAAATAAAAAAAGGCCTGCAGTAACCAAATTTATCCACAGGATGTCAGTCTTACTTCATTTTTACATATTGCATCTTTAAGACTACCTTCATGCTAAGATGTTTCTAATTGATATGTTTTAGAAAGCCCCTTCACTTTTACAGGCTTTTACATCTACTGTTTATCCGGCAGTGAAACTGCTTGAATAAGAATTTGTTATGAGTACAAAGTTTAATTTTTGTTAGTGATAAAACACTTTGATTAATGTAGCCTCAATTTTATTCAAAGCTCATGGGTAAAAAAAAGTCTCATTATTTCCATAAATCTGTTAAACTCCTGTTTTCCTGCCATCGGTCGTGAGTTTCACCTATATAAGTGGGTGGCTCTAATAGGCTCTCAGAGGAGCATGTAGTTGACTAAACTGCACAGAAAAGGGACACAAACGTCAGTAAACTTTGTGAGCCTGACAATCCATTAGGTTTTTCTCATCCTTTTCTCTGCTGTAGTTATTTGCCTCAAGATATGCTTTACCCCACTGAAGCAGAAATGTATGAGCTGAACTTGAACTGATAGAAAAGGTTCTGAGTTATTTTCTACTTCCACTAGGGACAAGAGCATAATGTAATGTACGACACATCCAGGATATTTGTGCCGTCTGTTATTTGACAAAAAGAGCTGCAACACTCATCTGCTTTACATAAAATCATATTTCATCCCTTTTTATCTCGTGAGTTGTCTCTGAAGGCTGTTCCAGACCAAAGAAGGGACAAAAGAGCAAAGTGGGTTTTCCTTTGCCCTTGCCTCCATTCTGCATCTCTTTCCTTCAGTGCAATTAGTGTTTCTATTTTAAATCTGATGTATCTCATAGTTCGTTTTTCTCCTTTTATGTGCTCCTCTACATCCTCCAATTTCCACGAAAGTTATCTTAATCAACTTTAGATTTAGGCCACATGTGACTCTTATTTTCTCTCACCTGTTCCTTTCTTGCAGACGTAAGGCAGGTTGTAGTTGCAGGGAACGTCATTCCATTTGCCGTTTTCACGGGCAATCATAACCACACAGTCCTCTCCTCCAGCGAAGAAGTTGTCCGGTTGGTTTTCACGCCAGTTTTCGTATTGCTGCACAAACAGGGAATTAAGAGTGATGATCTTATTTCAATAGTTTTAATTTTCACTGGGATGAAGGCAAACAAGACAAACAGGCTCCTCACCAGGTCCATCTTGTCCGTCCACTGAAAGTCATCCTCCACTGTACGATCATTCAGCCCAATCCAAGTGTTATCATGGCTCAGACCTGAATCCAACACAGCACACTGATTAAAGATAGACTGAATTCAGGGATTGGACTCTCCCAAATTGACTGCAGCTGAGAAACAAACAGCAGAAACATACTGAGTCTGTATTTTGTTTGTGTGAAAACAAATTTCCCTAAAGGTGTTTTGGCTTAAACTCATTTATGGGCGTGGGAGTGTGGGTGCCTGAACACACTGTACAGATTGAAATTTGAATCATGGTAATGATTAACATCATTACTAGGCCCATTAATCCTACTAATGGCTCTGATCCCTTTATCGCAGGGGTGGAGACATCCATTTTCAAGAAAACGAAACACTTTTTTATGCTAACTGGCGATGTAGAAGAAAGATGAGCTCTAGATGGATGTTGCTGGTCTGGGGTCTGCCTGAAACTGAAAGTGGGCTGACAATTAAAGGCTCTTGCCGCTGGTGATCAGATGTTATTACAAGACAAGAGGCAGTGGAGAGCTGCCTGAAGGCAAAAGGATTAGATTGAGGGGTTGAAGGAATACGGGGCGCTGAAGGCAGCCCAAGTGTCTATTAGCTTTTTAACACTGCGTGGCGTTAATTAAACCACTCTATGAGGTTATGAACTGAATATGAGTGGAAACTCATATTTAAGTGAATAAGACCAAATAAGTTTAAAATCTTTATTTTTGTTTGAGATCATTTTGCTTATTTTGGAAAATAATTGAGAATTACACACAAATACTAGAAGGGTTGGATGTACTACACATTTGATGAAATGCAACACAATATGATAGTTTGCTCCCAACCAGTACAGGATGGATTGCAATGTGACACAGACAGAAAGTTTGTATGCATGTGTGTATGTATGTATGTATGTATGTGTGTATGTATGTATGTATAGCATAGCATAGCATAGCATAGCATAGTTTATTTATATAGCACATTTAAAATGCAGCATGGGAGCTGCACAAAGTGCTTCACAGGCTAAAACAAAACACACCCATTACAAGGAGCTAAAACAAAGGATAAAAATCTCAATTAAAAGCAGAGAAAACATGATGAATACTAAAAACACATTAAAACAATGACACAATAAAACACTAAAACGAGTCACTGTCTAAAAGCCAAAGTGTAAAAGTGGGTCTTTAAACGAGATTTAAAAACCGCCAGAGATGGAGCCTGCCGAACTCCAATGGGCAATGAGTTCCATAGCTTTGGGGCAGCATGGACAAATGCTCGATCCCCCCGCGATTTGAGTCTCATCCGCGGCGTGTGCAGCAGCAAAAGGTCAGCCGACCTCAACGAGCGGGTGGGCACATATGGAGTGAGAAGGGCAGAGAGGTAGGAAGGTGCCAGGTCATTGAGTGCTTTAAAAACAAAAGTCAGTAACTTAAACTGCACTCTGAAAATGACAGGGAGCCAGTGAAGATGTTCCAGGACAGGGGTAATGTGGCTACGTCGGTGTGTACCCGTCAAGAACCTGGCGGCAGCGTTCTGAACAACCTGCAGCCGATTCAGGGCAGAGTCCGGAACACCAATGAGGAGGGCGTCTGCATAGTCCAGGCGAGAGGTAATGAATGCATGAATGACTGACTCCAAATGCCTCCGTTTCAGGATTCGTCTGAGGTGAGTAAGGCGGCGAAGCTGATAAAAACAAGACCTCACTACAGAGTTTATCTGTGGGGCCATTGTGAGTCCAGCATCCAGCTTGACCCCGAGACTCGTCACACACTGTTTGGGGTTAATGGTTAAAAGGTCACAAACAGGGTGAGAGCCATGGTGGTTGTGGGGGTCAAAAACAATAAACTCAGACTTCTTTTCATTCAGTTTTAAGAAGTTGGATGCCAGCCAGCCCTTCACGTCATCCATACATGCAGCCAATTTTGAGCCTGCATTTTTCTCGTCCATTTCCACGTATAGCTGACAGTCATCTGCGTAGATGTGGTAGCTCAGGCCATGCTGATTCAGGATATTGCCCAGAGGCAGAAGGTAGATTGAAAACAGCAATGGCCCAAGAACGGAACCTTGCAGCACCCCCCAAGGCAGTGGAAGACTGGAGGATGCACAGTCACCAATCTGTACAGAGATGGTACGGTTTGATAGGTAGGAGCGGAACCATTTAAGCGCCACCCCCGTCACCCCAACCCAAGACCCAAGCCGATCCAATAAAATATGGTGATCGACCGTATCAAAAGCTGCTGAAAGGTCCAGCTGGAGCAGCAGTACCGTAGACCCAGAGTCAGATGCCACCAGAATGTCATTTAGCACCCTAATCAAAGCAGGCTCAGTGCTATGGTTTGGTCTAAAGGCTGACTGAAATACATCCAACAACGAGTTGCTATTCATATGGGCAGAGATCTGGCCATGCACAATTTTCTCAAGGACCTTCGAGAGAAACGGGACTTTCGATATAGGGCGGAAGTTCTCATAAGTGGAGGGATCCAAACCAGGTTTTTTCAATATCGGCTGAACAACCGCATCTTTAAAAACCTTAGGGAACACTCCAGTGCTGAGGCTAATGTTAAAAATGTTCATGAGTGCCGGGCTCAGCGCAGACACCGAGTCATGTACCAATTTAGCCGGGAGGCAGTCCACCGAAGAGCCAGCTGGCTTCATGGAGCTAATCAGTTTCATCAAGTCAGCAAGCTGAACAGGAGCAAAGTCTGAGAAGGCAGGTGGATCCGGCGGTTCCACATGGATAGTATGTATTTGAGGCTGGAGGCTAAGCCTAATACCAAGGATCTTGTTGAGGAAAAAGCTCTGTAGCTCTGTGCATAAAGCAACAGTGGGATTTAGACCATCAGACTCATTTAACAGTAGCAGGGAGTTAACTGTGCTGTACAGCCTGGACTGGTCTCCATGATGCTGTGAAATGATAGCAGAAAAATAGTTATTACGAGTAGATCTAACTGCTCTCTGGTAGCGTGAAAGTGCATCAACCAGGAGCAACCGAGAGCATGACAGTCTGTCTCTCTTCCACCTCCGTTCCAGCACCCTACACTGTCGCCTGAGGCTACGGGTGTCATCATTTAGCCAAGGGTCAGATGTTGTCTGTTTCCGCCTCGGTCTCAGCGGGGCTACAGCGTCCAGAGCAGCAGAGCAGGTCACACTGAACCAATGCAGAAGGCCATCTACATCCATGCAGGAAACCGACAAGGGCGGAGCGAGGGCATCAGTGTCCAAAACCGACAGAAAGATGGAAGTCGTACTCGGAGATAAGCGCCTGGAGTAACGAGCAGACTGTCGCCGGGCTGGAGGAAGGAGACGTGAGATGCTGAACGTGATCACAGCATGGTAGGAAAACGCCACAGGATCCACGGATAAATCATGCACATCCAGTCCAAAAGATAAAACCAAATCCAGGATGTGCGAATCAGCATGTGTGGGAACATTTACCAATTGCTGTAGTCCAAATGAGTCTAAAACATTCATAAAATCCCTCAACAGTGGTTTCAGAGGGCAGCAGACGTGGATATTAAAATCACCCAAAATAATCCCCTGTTCATATTTTGGGAGCACATCAGCTAAAAGGTTGGAGAATTCACTTATAAAATCCTTATTGTATCTTGGTGGCCTGTAGCACAGTAAAACGAGGATGGGAGGAGAGAAGCCCAGCTCTAATACTGAGACTTCAAAACTGGTTGGAGCCATCAGCCCAGCAAGAGGTTTAAGTGGGAGATTTGAACAGTACAGGGACAGCAAGCCCCCCCACGGCCAGAGAGTCTCGGTTCATTAACAATGTTACAGTCAGGAGGACAGAGTTCGACCAAGGAAGCTGTCTCACCTGGCAGAGCCCACGTCTTCGTCATGCAGAACAGGCTCACAGCGTTATCCGTGTAAAAATCCTTTAGGATAGCTGTCTTATTTCCCAGCGAGCGGGCGTTCAGTAGAGCAATCCGAAGCTGCGGCAGGGAGCTGGATGGAAGCTGATTTGAGGTTCGCCAAAACCCCGACCTCACGGGATAGAGGAGATTTTCCGGATTTATTCCACCAGTGCGCTGCGCTTGCTGGGAGCTCCCGCGCGCACGGGCCAGCCTTTGGCGCTGCAGAACCCTGATGGATCCAGGCGAGAAATCACAGAGGGGTACGTCCTGGAGGAAACGACCATCGCTGTTATCTCACCGAAAGGCCCTTATCCTAACCCGGACGCCACCACGTTTTCCACGCCGTCTCCGCCGCCTCGGGTTTCGCCCCACTCGGTCCGGGACAGCCAGCAGGAACGCCGGGACCTTGTCAAACAGGTGACCAAACGTCAACCTGAACTCAGCATCATGTAGCCCGAGTCTAGGGCTCAACCGAAGATCAAGAAGGGTGAGTCGATCGTATTTAAAAATGGGATCACAAAAAGCTAAAAAGTGACTCATAAACAATGCTAAAACCACAATTACAAGCAACAGTCGGCGTGCCGCAACAGTCAGCGCCATCTTTTCCCTCTTGTATATATGCATGCATGTGTGTATGTATGTATGTATGTATGTATGTGTGTATGTATGTATGTATGTATGTATGTATGTATGTATGTATGTATGTATGTATGTATGTATGCATGTATGTATGAATGCCATGTACTGTATGTATGTATGTATGTATGTATGTATGTATGTATGTATGTATGTATGTATGTATGTATGTACTGTATGTATGCATGCATGCATGTATGTATGTATTTATGTATGTATGCATGTATGTAAAGACAATTAAGTATCAAATAAATGAAAGTACGACTTTGCCCTTGCCCCTGCACTTTTTACCAGTCAACAACAATATCACACTATAATAAATAGACAGTGGTTGAGCACTAGCACCAAGCAGAAACAACCCCTTGTGTTGAAGCCTGTTTTCAATTACATATTTTGTATACTTACTGTTTATGTTTATGTATTTAGCAGACACTTTTGTCCAAAGTGACTTACAAGTGATAATTGGCATATTGCCCTTGAGGCTAACAACAACAATACCAACAACAACTTGACATCAGTCATGGAGAGTAGGGAACAAGGAGTGGACAGTAGAGAGGGGGGACGGGTGC